AGTTCTTTTAATCAAAAGAAAAACAAACACTAGGTGTTGTTCTAATTTAAGTGGCCTGTAGGAAAAGCAAACCCAGGCTGCAGGTTAGAAACCATCACTTTTATCTGTATTTTTACAAAATAAAATAAAGGGTGCAAACAATTAGCCTTATTAACAAAGAGACATAGACTGCGTGCTCCTTCCTAGGGGAAAGGCATTCCCTTAAGCCAAGGCAGCGCATCTATTTAATCCCACCCTCGCGCTTTCCTTCCCCCGGCCTTTTCTTTGGCCAGTGGGGACTTGCGCCCATCCAGACGGGCTCGCTCCAGCCTTGGGAGGCACGGTGAGAGAATCCTCTTCCGGCAAGGAATCATCTGACACCCATGGAGCCTGCCTGGAGAGCAGCAAAGTAGACAGGCTTCATCTGTCCACTCCAGCACGGCTGCTGAGCTGCCCTCCCTGCTCAGCGTAGTAAGGCACGGCAGCATTCTAGCAATTAACTTGCTAGAGCCGAGTACCAGGCTATGCGAGCGTACCCATGCTCCTCGGGGCGGGGCTGGGGGGGCGAGGAAGGCGGAGGAGAGCAGCTCAGCCTGCCACGGCGGGGCCAGCGAGGCTACTACAGCACACAAAACCAGGAGCAGGAGTTTCCCACCGAGCGCATCTTCCACCCAGCGCCTCCAGCACGCAGCCAGGTCTGCTCCGCTTCCGGCAGGGCGCATCACTTCCCACCCTTGCCCGACAACATCCATCACCCCTCGTCAAATATTTTTTACGGTTATAGGTCTAAGGACAAGGAGGGGAGGGAAAAAAGAAATAAAATCAAGCTTTTTCTGCTTCACTGCCTCCCGCCTGATATATATAATGCGGCCGATAATGAAGTGAGAATCCCCCACCGCGACGCCCCCCGCCCCCGGAGCGCAGATGCTGCCCCGGCCAAGCCTCCCGCCGCCGGCACCGGATCGCCGACACAAAGGCTCAAAAGCACCATAAATACAGCCCCGCGGCCGCCGCCACCGGAGAGCGCCGGGCGAGCCCACCCCTCCCGCCTCGGGAGATGTCAGGTTACAGCCGAAAAGCCATTTACCGGGCTCGAAGTCAGGAATGCGCGCCTGGTATTCCGCTCCGACCCTCATTCCTACATCTGCAAGGCAAAGGGGGGAAGAGAAATTAAGGGCTGGAGCGTCCCCGGGCGCCGTCCCTGGCGGAGCCCCCGCCGCGGCCGTGCGGAATAAGCCACCTCCTCCCCCCGCCACCCCCCCGCCCACCGCCGCTGCCGCCGCCGCGGATTAAGCCCCGACGACCGCCGAGGAGGGGGCAGGAGGAGGCGGAAGGGGGAGTTTATTCCAGCGGAACAATGGGGACGGCGGCGGCTCCCGGGAGACACTCCCTCCCCATCGTTAAGTACCGCGGGGGCAGCCGCGGGGCCGCGCCGCGCGCTCCCGCCCCCCGCCCCGCACACGCGCGGCCGCGGCTCGGCCGCAGCACGGACGGAGCGGCGGAGCCCCGGCACCGGGAAGGGGGAGGCGGCTCGGCTCGGCTCGCCGCCCCTCCCGCCGCCTCCGCCACCCCCCTGCCGCCGCCGGCGGGGCGGCCCCAGGCTCGCACCGTGCTCGTCGCCACTGTCGCCGCCGCCGCTCTCCGGCTCCGAGTAGTGCCCGTTGGAGGGGCTGCTGCTCTTGGCGCCGTTGGGGGCTGCCCGGCTCTTACCCCCCAAGAGCTCCGCGCCCTTCTCCATCATGCCCGGCATGCCAGGGCCGGGAGCGGGGGAGAGCGGCGGCAGCGCTGGCTGCCGAGGGGGGGGAAGTTAATACGGAGCCGCCATGTTGCCCCCTCCCCGCCCCCCCCTCGGGCACCTCCTCCCCCCGCCCGCCGCGCCCCCCCTCCCCCGGCGCCGGGAATCCCTCCGCGCCGGCCCGGCCGGATCTCGCCGAGGGGCGGGGATGCCGCTGGAGCGCCGCCGGCGCGGCCGGAGGACGGAACGAAGGATTGCTCCCGCTCCCGGACCGCGGCCGCACCGCCGCTCCGCGGGGCTCTCCTGGCCAGCGGGCCCAGAGCAGAGAGGGGACTATTTCCCGGCGGCGGCGGCGGCGCAAGGATCCCGGCGGGCGGGTGTGGCGGCCGCCGGTGGTGCCGCGGCAGGGGCGGGAGGAGCGGCGGCCACGCAGGGGCCGAGCGGGGACAGGCGGAGCGGGCGGGGGCTCGGCCCGGGGCCTGGGCACATCGCTGAAATCACACGATGTGTGAACCCGTGCTATTTTTTATTCAAATTCAGAAAGTGATCGATTCGTTTACCTGTTTAGTGCAATTCCGGTGCGTTACCGAGTGCTGCGGTGTTACCGTCCAGTTTGTCTCAAATATTCACGTTTTATGAGGTAAAAAAGGGCTGAGATGGCCTCCAGATCGAGGCTGAGTGACAAGTCTTGCTGCTTAATCTGGAGATGCACTACTAGTTTGGTTTCTTCCATGCAAATACATTTAATCTTCTTGTGACTGTTCTAGTATGTGTTATAGGCATTTTTAATGGTGCAGTGATAACTTGTCTGTCTGATTTCCAGATGTGGAGAAAAAAAGTACAAGCTTAAATTTCTACGTATCGAACTGAAGTCTCATGTTCCAGCTAAGAGTGTCTGACACGATCCATTACCCTTTGTCACATCTCAGCAATTCTTCCCAAACTCTGCCCTGGTGGCTGTCTACCGCAGGCTGGTTGGTTTGTGGATGGATGGATTGATTGATTGATTGATTGATTGATTGATTGATTGATTGAAGAGCACTAGCAGGAATAGCACAGCTGCATTCTTACGGTGAGATAAAGGAGAGATGGCTACTTATGTCCATACTTATGGCTACTAAGTGTTCATAGTGCCTTACAGTAGGATTGTAACGTGATGTAGTTAGTCATGTTTGCTGTTTCTTGATACTTGCTTTGAAAGAATCTCATTATGGTCAAATTATATACTTATGAAAAACCTTTGGTGTATGTGTGCTTCCTAGAATATGTCAGGAAAATATTGTCAAGACTTTTCCTGCTTTGGGAATTTTGTGGTCTTTGAAGAACTGTTTTTGTGACAGCTTTTGGCAGATCGCTATCAAAAATGTGAGTAAACAAGCCGTGACTCCTTTATACTTGCTGGTTTTCAAGAGCTGGAGAGAAAGATGAGCAAGGAGAAGGTAGGAGCAGTGGTGGTTGACTGCCTGCAGGTGCCTCAACAACTGAGGATTTGCAGTCTCACAGGTTCATGTACACAAAAGAACTGACAATAAGAAACCATTGAGATGCCGGAGCCACAGGAAAATGTTTCCACTTTAAAGGCACAAAATCATTATGGAAACTTCTAGGAAATTTGGATTTGTTGTTTTAGTTCTCTTGAGACTTTTTATCTTTATTTTCTATGGATGTTAAGTTTGAGTGTTGGTGTGGCACCATGACTACGCTTGTCAGACAGTTCTTAACTACTGATAAAAGCTACTGGAAGTTTTAGTAAGTTATTACAGCTTTCAGGAATGCTAAGTTCTTACAGGTGTCATGAAAGTAACCATCAGAAAGGAAGAAAGATTCCTTGTAGCATGATTTGGAGGAGAATTGTATGAAGAGCTTGACCTTTTCTGTTTCTGTTATTTGCACGGCTGCTGTGGAGCTGCGTTTCGGTGGTTACAATAAAAGGGCTTAGGTTCACTAAGTCAAGCACTTAGATATTAGGAGATGCATGTAACGATTTTTTTCCCCATGTAGTCTGGAAGCTGGCTTGCTTTGGACTATTTCTTCCCTTGGATTCTTATCTTATCCTTCTCTTGTCTTCTGATTTAATTTTGTTTGTTTATTTTTTTATCCCTCTCTCCACAGTTCCTTTGTCACATTCAGTATATGGATGCTTCTGGATTAGATGTGACATGATCTTCAAATAGTTGTCTGTGAGATTGGTCCTGCATTTGTTATAGAAACTTCGCATAAGGAGTTATCTTAGATTAATATTAGCATATAAAATCACAGCATGGGTTACGTTGGAAGGCACCTTAAAGATCATCTAGTTCCAAACCCTTGCCAAGAGCAAGGATGCCACTGGCTAGGTCAGGTTTCTCAGAGCCCCATCCGAACTGGCCTTGGACACTTCAGAGATGGGGCATCCACAACCTCTACCTGCTTTCTGTTGTCTCTTTCTTCTGTGTATCCTTCCTTCTCTGTATCCCTATTTGTAATTTTTGTTTCCGAACATAATCCCTAGAGGGCAGCAAAGTAACCAATGCATTCAGAAGGTGCAAATTGTGCCAGTCTAAAGATTCTCTTGATGAGCCTATCGGTTTTTCCTTCTTGGAGATAATGCTTTCTCCTTAAAACGTATTTCCTAAGTCACCGTTTCGGGGGGGAGGTTTGTGTTTGGGCAGGAGGACAGGGATCCTTGGAGTACAAAGTGGATTGCAACAGAGAGGAAGAGAATTAGAGAGTAGACAAGTTGCAGACAAGGAAAGTGAAGCAGTTGCTTCTTCCCTTTTAGTGAAATCGCTAAAAAGTAAAAACAAGCACAAAAGGAAACAGCTTTCCCTAACCATTAATTAACTCAGCTTAAAACCTACATGGCTTCTGAGGATGCTCCGCACAGGGTTGAGGCCTCTTGCAATTTTTGTTAGTGTGAGTTCTTTTGCTAGTGTGGGATTCATTGCTTAAAACCAGACTCTTAATTGGAGTGTGGACTCCTGCATATAATTACCTTACAGGGAGGGTTAATTGACAGCGTTAACTGTTGAGTAGTGAGCTAGGGGAAAGTAAAGAATGTTAATTCAGAAGAAACAAAATTCTTAAAACTAGGTTTTAACATCCCAGTATTACTATAGAATCATTTAGGATGGAAATTAAAATTGAGTCCAACCATTAGCCCAGCACTGCCAAGTCCATCACTAAACTACATCCCTGAGTGCCACATCCATACTTCTTTTAAATACTGCCAGGGATGGTGACTCCACTGCTTCCTTGGGCAACTTGTTCCAGTGCTTGACAGCTCTTTCTGTGAAGGAACTTTTCCAAATATCCAATCTAAACCTCTCCTGGTGCAACTTGAGTCTGATTCCTCTCATCCTAACTATTATTACCTGTGAGAAGAGACCAATCCCACTTCGCTACAGCCTCCTTTCAGGCAGTTGTATATAGCCATGAATATTCCCATTAGCCTCCTTCTTTCCAGGGTAAACAACCCCAGCCCACTCAGCTGCTTCTCATAAAATTCATGCTCCAGACCCTTCACCAGCTTTGTTACTCTTTGGATGCTCTTCGGCACCTCTTGTATGTTATTTCTAACTCATTAAATTTTAGGTCAAGGAAAGGATTGCAGATCACATGTTTGGCCTTTTTATCTTATGGTGACAGTTTCGTACTTTCAGTTTTTTTGGAAAGAGCATTTTGACAGTTTCCTGTCTTGGGAATGTTGCTTTACACCATTTATAATCTGTGTCTTTAAATATTTTTAGAAACAGGTCAACAGATTTGTGATGCTTCTCCAGAAAAATTATAGATAGATGATGTGTGTTGTGTGAAACCCAAAGAAAATAGGATGACTGTGGAAACCTTTTGGCAATATCCAGCCTGGAAACTTGTGCTTTAATGTGAAGGTTTATAATTGTTCCATAAAGAAAAGTAAGCTCTTTGTCGTCATAAACACATTAAGAAAAGCATGCCTGGGATCAAGGTAATTTCAGATAAATTACACTGCTTGGAGTCTGTTCACGCCTCTGCTGGAAAATATATAGGTGTCATCTGTCAAGTACTGTGTTTCTTTTATATTAAACACATCTAGGCCTGCTGGGTGGTAAGTGGGAGGCTTAGAGTGGACAGGGTGAGATTTATTAGTTCTTTTACTCTAATGGTTGTTGCTGTGTTTCATTCAACATTCTTGAATTTTCCAAAGACTTCGCGTTTTAGTGGAAGATGGTGGATTTTCTACAGCTCTAGAAAATCAGGCCTTCAGTCTCAAGCTAGCACTTTCTGAATTCTAGTTTTAATGTTTTAAGGTAGAAATTAGTAAAAATTTGTTCTATTACTGGCCATTAAAATGCAGCAACAAAGCATTTGCGAACTGCCTTTCTACTGTTAATATCCCCCAATTGAGATTTTTTTCTTTTTTTTTCTTTCTTTTTGTAGTGCTGTCTTCCAGTTACAGGTTTCAAGAGTTATCTGCTTTCCAGATCTGAATGGAATTCTTCTGCATCAGGACAATTGGTAACTTATTCTTGGGAGATGGAGAAAGTTGCAGTTCCTTTGAGAAGTCTAAGGACTTCAGCAGTTGTAGACATTTTTTCCTATTAAAATGCCTGTCACCAGGTATCATATCATGCCCTTCTGAAACCTTTGCCAAAATTTGAGACTCAGACTGTGTTGTACAGCGTTAGTGGTAGATGCATTCCATGGAGTGGCAATGTTGGGATTTGGCACTCTGTTAAAAATAGCATTTTGAGATAAATTATTTGTTGCACTGTAGGAAGACTTGTTCAGGAACAAGCATAATGGGTTAGTGCTAACATCCATCTTGCCCCCAGTACTTTGATCCTGACAGTTCTGCAGAGGAACTGATTTTGGAGCCAGTGCCATAATCTCCATTCTCTGTTGGCAAGAAGCCTATTCTTGTTCTTCTAAAGTTTTTACTCTGAAGTGTAAAGCTTGGTATTTAAAAAAAAAGAGTAAAATTATTATTCCTATGGATATGTTATGAAAACTTCTGTTCCACCTTTACATATTTATAGACCTGTTTCGGTGACTTCCTACAGGTGAATTTTACTGACACTGTATGATTATATTTTTGTCCTTAAAAATAAATTATTTTCTCTTTTTCTTGACAGGAGGGACAGGTGTTCCTGCTCATCCCTTCAGTATCATTGTTTCATTTCTCTTCAATTAATCGAAATATCTGGTGAGCTGTACTGATTGCAAAGAGAAGAGAGGTTCTCTGGTTGATTATGATGACACACTGTGGGAAAAGCCTGAGTGTAGCTGACAATCTTATGTTACATAGGTGACTCAAGACAGCAGATCATTTCAGAAAGTCAGCTTACAGATATCATTTAACCACTTACATTTTTGCATACCCTCTTTAAAGGAAATTTTGGTAATAGCTGACAGTATGTCTTTGAATTAAAACATTGACATTCAGTATTGTCAGTGAAGATTTTCAGACTGTGTATGAAGATCTTGTATACATGGCTGAAATGGTAGCATCTCTTTACAAATGATTTGGGTTTAGGGCCAGTTGTTTCTCACAGAAGGGAAAAGAGATACTGTATTTGTTTTGGTAAGATAGTGTGCTTTTACTTCATCCTGTTTCACTTTTGCATAGTTACCTAAACTACTTTTCATAGGACTGTTCAGCAGAAAGCAGAGATCACCTAATTGATACTTAAAGTTGTTGGACTTCTGTAAGAAATGTAGTTTGGTTCTCCTGCAAGGTGTTTACATTTTTGTGCATTTGTTTGTTGTGGTTTGGGAGGGGTTTTGTTTGTTTTTTTAAATGCAAAGCAAGTGCTTTGATTCCCGGTTGTAGCCGTGGAAAGGGGTTTTAGCCCTTTAAGTGCAGCAGAAATAAGATGCACAGTTACATGGTCGTCTTTCATGACAGGAAGAAAGAG